GTCAGTCATAATGTTTAAAAAATATTTTAAAATGTTAAACATATGTTTAACGAGTCTCTTCAAATGATGGCATTCCGTGAAGATGATGAAGTGAAATCCGGATGACTTAAGTATCAAAGATCAATAGGTTTCTTTGTAATAACTTTATGCAATCATTGTTTGAAATATTTCTAATAACTGAAAATGAATTTTATCTTTTTTGTTTCTTTTTTATTTTGTCAAATATTTACTTGAAAGAGGCTGTTTTGTCTGACATGTATTAAAGTCAGTATCCTTCATCTGTATTCCTTCATTTGTATTTTTTTTTTAAAAAAGCCTTTTGTTACAACATTTGGAAGTGTTATTTTCCTTCAAATTGTGCATTGCCCAGTATATGAAAAGCAATATACTCAAAATACAGGTAGTATCTTTTCGGGAATATCACATTGCTATTTTCTCAAGACTTTTCTTTTGTTTAACAAAAATGATTATGGCTGCTTGGCTACCATTCCAATTGGCTTCTTAGTCTTCTGTGTTGCCCATTATCATCTGAACTATGGGAAGATATATTTTCTATGCATGTAGAGATCTAGGCAAGGGATGAGACTCATGTGGCCCTCCAGATGTTGCTGGTAAGGGTTCTAGAAACCTTATTGCCATGGTTAGGATGCTGAGAGTTTCACTCTAACAATGTTGGAAGTGCTGCATGATTCCTGCCCCAGTCCAGGCCAAGACCCTGTTATTAATCCGAACTAGAGTTAATCCTATCTAATAATTGAATCAACAACACTTACAGAATTACTGACTTAACCAAATTTTCATTGGTTCTGTGTGAGTCTGCTGAGAGAAATCACTGGATGTAGGCCTTATTTTTCTTTTTAAAAATTCAAAATGCATTTGTACGGTGGTCCCTCCTCATTCGCTGGGGTTTGGGATGAAGGACCCCTGTGAATGTGAAAAAAACAGAAATAAGAAACCACTATTCTTTTTTTTACTTGAGAGAATACCTCTATACGAATCTCCAGGTGCTCCAGTGCAACTCTATGGTCAACATCTGCCAGAAGTTGATCATAGACTCATGCTGGAGGACCTACAAATGCCTAGAGAAGTGTTTTCTTTAGGAACACTGAGGTTCCCCAACACAAGTATATAGTCAACTTCTGGCAGAGTTGTGCTGGAGGACCTGGAGATTCCTAGAGAGAATATATTAATCAAAACTGCAAATAATCAAATCTGCAAAAATAAAATCTGCAAATGTGGAGGACCAAATGTATATGCAACATAATGGTGCATTCTAACACAGAAAGGAATAACATTTGTTGGGCTTTGCAATCCTGCTTTGTCCCAGATCCATGATGTATTCATGAAGTCTTTTTTTTAAATTTACTAATCTAATAAAGGAACATAACAACACAGATAACAAGAACAAATACATACAAAATAGTAACTACAGCACAAAATCCACAAGACCTAAAACACAACATCAACATAAAAAGACTTCCTAGCCTCTAATCCTGGCAATTCATTGTCTTTTTACTAATACTTCCATAGCAGATACAATAATGTTCTACTTACTGGAATTAAACTGTCATTATCTTCCTTTATATAACAGTTAAGATGAAGCTCTTGATTATTCTCTTACCAATACTTATTGTCAATGTTTGTATGGTACAGGATACATAAATTAACATGGAGAATTTTACTCATTTTTATTTTATCCTTGAGAAGATTTCTGATTCCAACAACGTCTTAAATATTCTGTTATCGGGAGCCATTCCTCCTTAAATTTATCAGTATAACCAAATTTGATCAAATGGGCCACTTTAGCATTTTCCAGTGTTCAGAAAGTCTGACTTAACTGCAGAAGGCTATTTCCACTTTAGGTGAGAATGCGGCAAAGGATTGTGGTTGATTTTTCAGCAAGAAAACTCTGTCGGTGACTTTGGCACAGTCGCAATCTTGTTGCTGTAAATATAATTCGTAAACTTCAAGCCTGCCTACAGTATCTGGAAATGAAAGCGCTTTCCTGGCCTCAAACCTTCATCATAGATTGACCTTTTGTTCTATTCTGCTGAGCCAGAGTGATAAATAAAATAAAATAAAATAAAAAGCTAGGAACACTAACATAAATACAATTTTGTTTGTGCAAGGACAGGCTGCCAAATAGATGAATTTCTCAAAGGAAACATCGAACGTGGTGCAATTCAATGTGCTTCTTAGTGATGCTCAAAATGGAGGATGTTAGAAAATAAAAGCTAAAAACACTGCTATACATACAATTTTGTTTGATATGGGTAATTTACATATATTACATATATTGTACTTTCTGATATTCTCAACTGTATTTTTGTGATTCTTGTCTTCCTGTGTGAAAGAGAAGACCCAAATAAGGAATGAATGTGGCTAGGGAGAAGGCCACTGAGCATGCACAAAGTGCACCCCCTTGGAGTCACTGGCACCCACTAAACTGGAGACATAGAGGCTGGGAGGATGTGTGTGTGTGAGAGAGAGAGAGGAGCCCCAAACAGGGTGACCAGACACATCCTCTTTTTCCAGGACATGTCCTCTATTTCACATGCTGTGTGTAGCCTTCTCCTTGGCTACATTCACTCTTTCTTTGGGCCTCCCACGTCTCACACTCCCTCATGACTCCAGTATATTCCAGTGACTCCATGGCTGCACTTTGCACATGCTCTGTATGTCGCCTTCTCCCTGGCCACATTCTCTCTCACACCCACACCCTCCATGTCTCCAGTTTACTCTAGTGCAGGGGTAGGCAACCTTTCCCCTTTAAGGGCCGAGG